AGTGAGTGTGTGAGTATGGGTGTGTACGTGTATGAGTTTGAGTGTGTGTGAGTATTAGTGTGTGTATGTGTATGGGTTTGAGTGTGTATGAGTGTGTGTGTGTGTGTATGATTTTGTGTGTGTGTAAGCATGGGCGTGTGTGTGTGTATGAGTGTGGTATGTGTAAGAGTGTGTGAATGAGTTTGAGTGTATGTGTATAAGTTTGAGTGTGTGTATGTGTATGAGTGTGTGTATGAGTTTGAGTGTGTATGAGTTTGTGTGTGTGTATGTGTGTGTGAGTATGAGTGTGTGTGTATGTATGAGTGTGTATGTGTATGAGTGTGTGTATGAGATTGAGTGTGTGTGTGTCTGAGTGTGTTTATGTGTGTGTCAGGGTGTTCATCTGTGTGTGTGTATATATATATATATATATATGTCAGTGTGCTTCTGTGTCTGCGCAAACATCTGTGTATGTGCATCTGTGTGTGTGTTTTATGTCAGTGTGTGTATCTGTGTTATGGTGTGGGCATGTATCAATGTTTGTGTGTGTCAGAGTGCATGTGTGTATATGGCGGTGTGTATCTATGTGTGTATCTATATGTGTGTGTGTGTTGGTGTCTATATGAATTTGTGTGTATGTTTCGGTGTATTTATGTGCATGAATATCTGTGTAAGTATGTATGTATGTATGTGGTAGTGTATGTGCATACATCCAAGCAGTCAAACACCAGCATAACATACAAGCACAAGCACACTCCTGCAATCAAACACAAATATTACATACAAACACGCCCCTGCATTAAAAAAATTACAAAAAAAATATATATATATATACAAACCCACCCCTTCACTCAAACACAAATACTTCACACAAATGTACATCTGCATTTAAAAGTAAATATTCAGACACACCCCTGCAATCAAAATCAAACATTACATACAAACAAACCCCTGTATTAAAACACAATAACTATATACAAGCACCCCTTCAAACACCAACACAATACAATACACTATAGCGCCAGTAAATGCAGCAGCGCTGTACAGATATACAACCTAGAAATTTTGACTTGGGGTGCCTTGGAAAAATACTGAAATATTAAGGGTGCTTTGAACATAAAAAGTTTGGGAACCACTAGTATAGAGTATACGTGTGTATCTAGAGGTGGATTTGGATGTACTGTTGGCAATTGAATGCAGTGGTGTACTTGTGTGTAGTGTTGACATTTTAATGCAGAGGTGTGTTTGTATGTTGTGTTGGTGTTTGATTGCTCGAATGTACACACATACGCAAATACACAGTCACATAATACTTACACACATATACCTACACACACACTGACACATACACAGCAGATACACACATACACAGGCATATAGATACATGCACGTATACATATAATATTTTTTTATTTACAGCGGCCCTAATGTTAACATAACTTTTGTGTGCAGCAGGGTGGCTTGCCTGGAGTCGTGCTGCTGGCTGAGGCTGGTGGGAGTCTGGGACCGTAGCTGGGTCTCATTGTGTTTCTCCCCCCTCCTATGTTGTCTACTGTGCGGCACTCTCTCTGGATTGGGAGTGACAGGCACTCACTTCCTCGCAGCATTACTGATGTGAAAGGTGCCCGGTCGAGCTGTTAAAGTGGTTAGACGCCCGAAAGGGCCCCTGTTTAGCAATACCCAATGGGTGGCCCTGAATGCATGGGCCACTCGATGGGCCCCTCAATCCTGCGATAGTTCCTCCGCTGACACCTATATTTATTACTGCCCTAATGTTCTGCACATGGCTGTGTGTGTTTAGATTAGCACCAATAATATTGTACTCATTCTCACTGTCTAAAACATAACTATTATGTTTATATTATGTTTGGCTGGCTACTATATAAATATAAATATTATTTTAAAAATGTATTATTATTTTTTTTAATATAATTTCCATCCTTCAGGAATTGCAATGGATTAAATATTGCATTTATATTTAGGATTTGTGACCATAACAAAAGTGTCAAGTATTTTTTTTTTTTTCATCTTTACATTTATAAAAAAATAATAAAAAATTTAAGCAAAAGTCCATAAAAAAAATAACATGTCCTGCCTATATTCATAAAGTGTTTTTTCTTGCTATCTGTTAAAACAAACAAACAAAAAAAGATGTTATATGTAAGCTGCTGGTAAACTGCCCTGTTTTGGGACTTCTTTTCATTTCACAGCGCAAGGATCAGAAATCACACAGTGCAGTGACTATCCCTGGCGACTCCTTCACTGGGTTGTGGGGAGGGAACTGACAGTGATACACATATTGACACACCCCTAGCCAGACCTCTGAGACAGGCGCAGGCTTACAAACACTGAGTTATCATAGCAGTCTATTGTACTGTCAGCTGGTGAGGGAGGTGTGTCTCTTCAACCAATGACAGGCAGCCATGCAAAGGCCACGCCTCCCATCTATGTTACAGAACAACAGTGATGTTTTATCATATTCTACTTTAACCAGTTAGAGTGAAGACAAGATACTAAACCCAAGGGGTTAAAACAAACCACACAAAATACTTTCATATTAGGAAGTAGAAAGCCATCATGTTATTGTATTTCAACTCTCATACAGAGAATCCTTTATGGTTTGTTTTGTATGTTTAGCTCTCAGAGGCAGGGGCAAATGTAAGCTTTAAAATGATACATATTTGGCAAAGATTTTGTATTTCAACTCCACTAAATATATATAACACAAGTTGTCATGGAAACTATTACTATCAGAAATTAAAAGTTCACCTGTACTGTAAGATACTTGTTTATATATGATCCTGTGAATCTGATGAATCTGCCAATTCATTTCATAATTCTAGATCTTGTTTATTTAGACACAGTAACTTCTATTTCACAAACCTGTCTCTTCCTATCTTCTAAAGGGTCACACTCTTCTTTCACCTTTCATCTTTCACAGTTCTGCTACTTATCCACCTTGTTTCTTAGTTGCTATGCCCTTTAGATGCCCTTCCTATTGTGTTTTTATACCCCACCTCCTCTAGATTGTAAGCTTGTTTGAGCAGGGTTCTCATCTACCTATTCTGTAACATTTTGTACTTGTCTCATGTATTATTAAATCCCCCCCTATAGTGTACAGCGCTGCAGAATAAGTTGCCGCCAAGAACAATTTCTATTTAATCACAGCCTAAAATTTCCATATTCCCCCTGGAGCCATAGGAGACATGGAAAAGCTACTAGAGATGTGCACGGGTAAAAAAAAATCCGTTTCATTTCATTGCAATCATTTTCAGATTTTTGTTCAAAATTCTATATGTAGGATTGTCATATTTAAGGAAACCATAATATAGAGCTATCTAATAAATGCAAGTCCCTCCCTCATTTGGCACCATTTTTTGTTATGGAAATCACATATATGTATATAGAATGTATGTGCTACATGTGTATGGAATGTATGGTGTATATATATGTATATAGAATGTATGTCCTGCATGTATATATATATATTGGATAAGTTGCATGTTTACAGAATGCAGATGCTGTATGTAAATAGAATGTATTGCTGTATGCATATAGATTGTATGTGCTGCATGTGTATGGAGTGTATATGCTACATATAAAGAATGTATGCAATATATATATGTATATATATTGTATAAGCTGCATGTATACAGGGAGTGCAGAATTATTAGGCAAGTTGTATTTTTGAGGATTAATTTTATTATTGGACAACAACCATGTTCTCAATGAACCCAAAAAACTCATTAATATCAAAGCTGAATATTTTTGGAAGTAGTTTTTAGTTTGTTTTTAGTTATAGCTATGTTAGGGGGATATCTGTGTGTGCAGGTGACTATTACTGTGCATAATTATTAGGCAACTTAACAAAAAACAAATATATACCCATTTCAATTATTTATTATTACCAGTGAAACCAATATAACATCTCAACATTCACAAATATACATTTCTGACATTCAAAAACAAAACAAAAACAAATCAGTGACCAATATAGCCACCTTTCTTTGCAAGGACACTCAAAAGCCTGCCATCCATGGATTCTGTCAGTGTTTTGATCTGTTCACCATCAACATTGCGTGCAGCAGCAACCACAGCCTCCCAGACACTGTTCAGAGAGGTGTACTGTTTTCCCTCCTTGTAAATCTCACATTTGATGATGGACCACAGGTTCTCAATGGGGTTCAGATCAGGTGAACAAGGAGGCCATGTCATTAGATTTTCTTCTTTTATACCCTTTCTTGCCAGCCACGCTGTGGAGTACTTGGACGCGTGTGATGGAGCATTGTCCTGCATGAAAATCATGTTTTTCTTGAAGGATGCAGACTTCTTCCTGTACCACTGCTTGAAGAAGGTGTCTTCCAGGAACTGGCAGTAGGACTGGGAGTTGAGCTTGACTCCATCCTCAACCCGAAAAGGCCCCACAAGCTCATCTTTGATGATACCAGCCCAAACCAGTACTCCACCTCCACCTTGCTGGCGTCTGAGTCGGACTGGAGCTCTCTGCCCTTTACCAATCCAGCCACGGGCCCATCCATCTGGCCCATCAAGACTCACTCTCATTTCATCAGTCCATAAAACCTTAGAAAAATCAGTCTTGAGATATTTCTTGGCCCAGTCTTGACGTTTCAGCTTGTGTGTCTTGTTCAGTGGTGGTCGTCTTTCAGCCTTTCTTACCTTGGCCATGTCTCTGAGTATTGCACACCTTGTGCTTTTGGGCACTCCAGTGATGTTGCAGTTCTGAAATATGGCCAAACTGGTGGCAAGTGGCATCGTGGCAGCTGCACGCTTGACTTTTCTCAGTTCATGGGTAGTTATTTTGCGCCTTGGTTTTTCCACACGCTTCTTGCGACCCTGTTGACTATTTTGAATGAAACGCTTGATTGTTCGATGATCACGCTTCAGAAGCTTTGCAATTTTAAGAGTGCTGCATCCCTCTGCAAGATATCTCACTATTTTTGACTTTTCTGAGCCTGTCAAGTCCTTCTTTTGACCCATTTTGCCAAAGGAAAGGAAGTTGCCTAATAATTATGCACACCTGATATAGGGTGTTGATGTCATTAGACCACACCCCTTCTCATTACAGAGATGCACATCACCTAATATGCTTAATTGGTAGTAGTCTTTCGAGCCTATACAGCTTGGAGTAAGACAACATGCATAAAGAGGATGATGTGGTCAAAATACTCATTTGCCTAATAATTCTGCACTCCCTGTACAGAATGCAAATGCTGTATGTATATAGAATGTACGTGCTGCATGTATACAGAATGTAAATGATGCATGAATATAGACTTGTATATAGAATGCATGGTATAAACAAAGAAAATTAGGGAGCAATCTACTAAATAGCTGACAGAGCAAAATTAAGAAATACCCTTTTGCTTCATTTTGCTGTTTCAGTTGCTTATTAGATAAGTCCCTAATTTGCTATCCTTATGGAAATGAATGAATCTGACAGAATTTATTTTAATTTGTTTCTGAATTTCTTTGCCTTTAGTTTATTTTCTGTTTGCAAAGAATTTGGGAATATAGACACTTCCAAATTGCCCTGCAATGTCTTAGAATTGGAGAGGCAAAGGCCATTGATGCAACTTTAGTCTACCTCAATACAAAAAGAAAGCTGCCCGATCCTACTTTTCCTACAGAGCACCGCAATGATGGAACGACCTCCTGCACACTTTAAAATCTTCCCCAAGCCTTAAATCCTTTAGGAGATCCCTCTCTACATACCTCAAAGCAGAATGCACCTGTCATGGTTGATGATATATGTCCTACCTGTTCTATGTTAAATTTTGTATATATTGTGTATTAATATTATTTTTGTATTTTATTGTACCATAATGTATCAATGCAATGTTTTGTGGACACAAGAATATCTCAATTTATCCTTCCTGGTAAAATATTTTTTAAATAAAGAAATAAATAAAACTGGAATGCATGCATAGTTGTCCTGCTGCCTGGCAGGATAGCCAATCAGGAGTGCCCATGCTATACTAGTGAAGTGTATGGACTGAAATGCCCTTTAATTCATCCCTCGTGCCAGTGGCGACTATAGGAACAATACATAGCAGAGGACATAAGTAGGGATGTAGTGGGAATTGTAAGTAGGGCTGTAGTGGGTATTGGGGGTAGAGGGGCCTTGATGGTGCTGGTGAAAGGAGCTGTCGTGGGTGCACAGGATAATTGGGGCTGTAGTGGGTGCAGGAGGTAATAGGAGCTTTAGTGGGTGCCGGGGGAAAGGGCTGTAGTGGGTGTAGGGAGGAAAGGTTGTATTGGGTATAAGGGCTGTAATATGGGTGGATAGAGGTTGTGATAAGAGGATAGGGGCTTTGGTGGGAGGGATGAGGCTGTGATAGGGGATAATGGCAGTAATGGCGTTATAGGAGCTGTGATGGGGGTAAAGAGCTGTCATTAGGAGATAGGGGCAGAAATGGAGGGGTAGGAACTGTGATGGGGCAGTTATGGGGCGATATAGGCAGAATGGGAATGGGAGAATGCTGACCATGCCGGTGCCGAGGAATGTATCAGAGCGTTGCCGTGGTAATATGTGACCAAGTTCTACCTCTAGGCATCTGGGTGGCCTGGCTGGTGAGGGCAGTGACGGACCTACCGCGGTCGCAGGGGTCGCAGCTGTGACCGAACCGTCACCCCAGGGGCTCATCCACCCTGTCAATTTCTGCCAGGGCCACACTGAAGGAGCCCATCGGATGGTCGTGCTCTTACGGCAACCTGAAGGAAATGTAATTTCAGGGGCCCAGTCAGCTCTGACTCCCAGGAGCTCTGACTCCCATCCGTATGAGGCAGCAACTGGACCCCGGGGAAGTCACCCTCCTGCGCCTAAAAGAAAGGAAACAGGAGGGTGACTGAATGTCTGTATATCTGTGTGTTTCTGTATGTGTATCTGTGTCTGCATGTGTGTTTGTATGTGTGTGTGTGTGTGTGTCTGCATGTGTGTCTGTATATGTATGTGTTTGTCTGTATGGATATCTGCATCTCTGTATGTGTATCTGTTTGCATGTGTATCAGCATGTGTGTCAGTGTGCACCCCTATGTATCTGTATGTGTGTTACTGTTTGCATCTGTATGAGTGTCTTTCTGTGTATATGTATGTTTGTCATTAAGTGTGTATCTGTTTGTGGGTCTATATGTGTATCTGCCTGTATGTGTGTCTGTCTATCCGCATGTGTGTTCTGTGTGTCTGTTTGTGTATCCGTTTGTTTGCATATGCATATCTGCATGTGTGGTCTGTATGTCTGTATGTGTATCTGTGTCTGCATGTCTATGTATCTGTATGTGTGTCACTGTTTGTATCTGTATGAGTGTCATTTTGTGTATCTGAATATTTGTCATTACGTGTGTCTGTGTATCTGCATGTGTGTCAATGTGTGTTTGTGTATCTTTATATGTGTCAGTGTTTGTATCTGTATGTATTAGATTATACACATGGAGGGTTGGGGGGGAGGGAAGATGCATGGCGCGTCCCTGTCATTTCTAGTTACGCCTTTGGATGGGGGAAATCTATAAACTCCCCACCGCCATAGAAGTGAAGGGCCACGCAAGGAGCAATGAACATCTGGACATATTTGGTCCTTTAGCTAAACTGTTTGACCTGGCTGAAATTGCCAGAGCCGAAAACAGGCAGGTTGACCCGGAGGAACTCCGTGGCTGGGTGCAGAGGGCAATCTGCATTGTGGGCAACGTTAATACCTCCCTGTCCATAAAATAGTGTAAAGCCATTCTTTTTAAAATCGAACCTAAGCTAGCCAACTTCGGTCTCACTGAAGCGGGCAAGGATGCCCAGGGCCTGTTATTTGGGGATTCTTTTATCAAGGAACTAGCTTTGTGGGTACTTTTACAGCCCTGGACAAGGCCCAAGCCTCCATATAGAGGGTATTTCAATGGCAGGTCTCTACCAGGGCCAGCAGATTCAGGGGTCGTCTGTCCGGCCGTTCCAATTATCACTCCCGTGGATCGGGACCAGGATCCTACACACAGAGAACGCACTACCAGGAGGCAAAAAAACAGTCCCCCTTCTTCCCCTCTCGTGGAAGGCCATGGCGATCCAGAGGCTTCAGAGGGAACTCCGTTTCCAGACGCCCTTACAGTAAGCTTACATCTACCTCATGTTTTTTCCAATATTTGTGTAGGGGGCAGACTCCGTCATTTTTTCCATGCTTGGTCAGCCATCACCTCTCACCTCGGATGTTTGGGTTCCGACCACCGTTCAGGGTTTCCACATCGAATTGGTCGACACTACGTGTCACATTCCTCCTCCTCGCCCTATTTCACTCTCAGTGAACGACCGCGTCTTGATAGGCATAGAATTTTCGGCCCTTCATACGAAAGGGGCAATAGAACTAGCCCCCGCGTCGCCTGCAGGGGTACTCAGCACCATCTTCCTGGTAGAAAAGAAGAGCAGGCAGATGCGCCCAGTTATCAATCTCCGTGCCCTGAACACCTTGATGCGCTTCCGCTAGATGGAGGGCATCCACCTCCTACGAGACTTGCTCCTTCGCGGCGACTGAAATTAGACCTGAAGGACGCATACTTGACGGTCCCAGTGGCCAAAACGTCCAGGGACTTATTACGCTTCCTCTGGAAAGGCAACACCTGGCGCTTCACATGCCTTCTCTTTGGACTCTCACAAAATTGATGCGCCCTGCCATGGCTTGGTTGCGCAGTCGAGGAGTTCGGCTAATAGTCTACTTGGACGACATCCTCATCACGGCACAGGATCGTTCGGTCCTCCTGAGACATCTGCAATGGACGATGGACCTCCTCTCTCGCCTGGGTTTCATCCTCAACTGGGAGAAATCCTGCCTGTCCCCTTCACAACGCATGGAGTTTCTCGGGTTCACCGTAGACTCAGAAGCGGAATCACTCAGCCTCCCTCCATCCAAGATTTGGACCATCGGCAAGGAATTGCACTCCCAGTTAACACTACGCCATCTGGCATGGATCATTAGACTACTGGCATCATCATTCCAGGCGGTGTTCCCAGCCCCTCTCCACTACCGTGCCCTCCAACGACTGAAGATTGCACACCAGCGGGGCATCCTATGTGGACATGGTCTCTCTGGACTCGGAGACACAGGACGAGTTGACCTGGTCGATCCACAACCTCTCAGCTTGGAATGGCAAGGTCATTTTCAGTTCCCAACTGGAGTTCACGGTGGATTCGGATGCAAGTCTCCATGGTTGGGGTGCCCACTGCAACGGTGTGACTACCAGAGGACGTTGGTCGGACGACAAATCCCATCTCCACATCAATGCTCTAGAGCTCCTGGCCAGCTAATTCACAATCGGGAGCTTTGCGAACGGGACTGCCAGGACAACATCCGCGGTCCGCTATGTCAATCACATGGGCGGCACACAGTCGGCAATTCTGACCCGCTTGGCGAAGGACTTTTGGACTTATTGCTTGGCCAGGAATCTGGTTGTCCAAGTGGAATACCTCCCTGGACTCCACAACACTCATGCGATCTGGAGTTTGCGCTATCTGTCGGACAGCAGTGATTGGAAATTGGGCAAAGGGGCATTCTCTGCTATCTCGTCTCTTTGGGAACCTTTTGCCATCGACCTCTTCACATCCCGGCTCAATACCCAATTACCACGGTTCTACAGCTGGCGCCCGGACCCGGCCGAGGAGGCATTGGACGCCTTCCTGCAAGACTGGACCAGCTTACTCTGTTACGTTTTTTCCTCCGTTTGCCATAATCCCTTGGGTCCTGCTCCAGGTTTGCCGCCAAATGGCCTACCTGATCCTGCTGACTCCGTTCTGGGGGACCCAATCATAGTTCCCACAGCTCTTGGAACTGGCGATGGATGGGCCCAGACTGCTGCCATCTTACCCGGACCTTCTTCTGGACCCATCTGGCCAGCAACACCCTCTCCTGTTGGACAGCTCGTTGCTGCTGCTCGCGTGGAAGATTTCCGGGGTCTCTTGGAAATCTAAGGAATTTTGAATGCAACTCAATGCCTCCTGTCTGACGTTTGGGCTCCCGGGACTAGAAAATCATATGGGACCGCTTGGAGAGCTTGGTCTGGCTGGTGCCTGACTCGGAACATGGATCCCGTTTCGGCACCTGTGACTGCGATCCTCCAATTCCTCACTTGTCACATTTTTTGAGGCTGCTCGGGCATATCGCACAATTAACTTGTACAGATCGGCCATTTCCTCGGCTCATCAGGGCTTTGACTGCTGTCCCGCAGGCCAACACCCCTTGGTGTGCCGGTTGCTTCGGGGCTCGCGCCTGTTGCCCCCTCCTAGGCCTCGATACTAGGCAACTTGGGATGTCTCCTGCGTTTTGTCACTTTTTGCCTCATGGCCTACCAACTCCGATCTTTCCTTTACGACAGTTGTCGACCACTTGGGTCTCCCTTTTTTGCCTCATTCCCTGCAAACGGGTTTTGGATGTTCGTGCCCTGGACTTCGATGCTAGGTCTGTGACATTTAACATCTCCAGACGCACTAAGACGGCTATTCGGTCGGTTTCGTATCCAAGTTTTCCAGTTACCCTGGCGTTGTGTCCGGTGGCCTGTTTGAGGGAATATGAACTTCGGATTAGTACATATCGTTCGGTTTCATCCCCTCAGCTTTTCCTTTTGGTTCATCAACCTTTTTACCCTGTGTCCAGTACTACCTTGGCTCACTGGGTGAAATGGGTGATGTCGCTAGCTGGTGTAGATACGTCCATCTTTAGCGCCCATTCCTCTCGGGGGGGCATCAGCCACGTCTATGGTGGCTTTGGGGGCGTATCTGGAAGACCTGATGAGGTTGGTGGACTGGTCCCGCAAATCCACTTTTCGCGAATTTTACTTTAGATCTACTCCTAATGCTTTTTCCTCTGTTATTGATCAGCTTTAAACTTGCAATATGAGCTTCCGTGTCTTGACATAAAATTACATAATTTTGCTATTTCATGAAGAAAGTCATGATTTTATGAGAGACACGGAGGCGAGTATTGTCCCACCCTTCTATGTTTCTTTCACTTGTTTATCCCTTCCTGTTGATTTTCTCTCTCATGTATGTTTCCAGAGGGTGGTAGGTATTTGTGATGCACTTGCGTGTATATTACCTTTTATGCTCATATGACCTGATTATGTTGTATGTTTTGCCTGGTGGGTTTATTTTACGATATGTAAGTTTATCAATATGTTATGTCTTGGCATGCGCACTTTGGTTCAAGTACCGATTTAACCGTTCGGCTCCTGTCTTTTATGTTTTTACAGGTTGATTCTGTGCTGTTTGGGGGTCTTCACTACTTCCCACAAGGCTTCTCCACGTTGACTGGAGGTCTATGGCTTGTTCTGAGATGGGCTCCTCACAGTTCTATTAATTGATGGATTGGTCCCAGTTCGTTTAGAGTTCCTGATCGGAGTCCGGCTGGATTTCGGGACGATTGTTCTGCTGTGGTTTGACTGATTCATCGGTTCCTGTTTGGTTGTTATTGTGTCGCATTTCCAAAGAAAGAGGAAATATGTGGGGAGGTGCTGACTATTATATTGGGACTTGGTATGGGAGTGGCTTATCACTATGGCTACCATTTTTTCTTACTGTTTGTTTCTTTGCTGCTATTGGTGGACAGTAAAGAAAGGGTTAAGCAATACTCGCCTCCGTGTCTTTCATAAAATCATGCAATAGAAAAATCATGTAATTTGATGAGTTTATCTTTATACATCATTTATAATTCAGAATATTTTTATTGTGCTAGGGACCTGCATTACTAAAATGAATACTAATAACAATAAAATAGCGTACCCCACACAATAGGTTAGGCAGAATGTAAGATTAGGAATGCCTTTGGGTAGGGTGTGTTTATGGTTTTGAGACTTATAGTTAAGGGGAACTTGGACTGCACTTGGCTAAGAATCATGGGTGTCACAGTCTACAGGAACTGGAGAAGGTCCCTAACAATCTAACTCTATGATCAATACACCAATTCTGTTTAAAACCTTATAGCCCTAAACAAATGCTAAATAGTTTTCCTAATCGTAGACTCGACATCCATTACTTTACTTTAATAGGATACTCCACGTCTTAAATAAAATAAAAATTAATTTAAAAAAAAAAATGTTTAAAAGATATACCCCAAATCATTTATATGGGATCTGGGCATTGGAGTGTCCCTTTAATCCATTCTGGTCATTTAGTTTCACCTATTGCCATGTAGTCATACACTCCTCTTGAAATCATATTGATCTACCTGTTTACTCACAGAGCCTATAAAAGATTGCTGTAATACTTGCTAATAGTTGCAATAAGCTCCACTTAATCATCAGTATTTATTATTTTAGTCAAATATGTTACCAGTGAGGTTTTTGTAAGTCATTGTAATAAGGTCACAACATTCTCATGTAGCAAGCATGTAAATGATTTTTTCATGTCTATTTTGAAGCTGCAATGAAGTTTATTTGGTATTTTATTTGCATATTTAGGTGTTTTAATTTATGGTTCTTCCGAATGCATATGTCTTTTAATAGTCACAGCATAACAACCAATATAGCTCAGTATAGTGGTTATGATGCTTAGAATGTGTATGTGGAGTGATTATGTTTTACTGTTATATCGTTTTCAAGCAGCATGACTAAACCCCAAGGTGTCCCTGTTGTCTTGGAACAATTCAGCTGTTCCAAAATTTTACATCAGTTTTAAATGACTGATTCCATAGTCACAATATTCAGGAACGTGGATGGGGAATGAGGAAGCAAAATGTCCGTGTTCTGAAGTCTCAAAGCGAAGAGGTGAGTGGCAGGAAAACTGCATGAAAACGTTTTTCTGAAAATCCATAGATGGCACACTAGAACCATAACCACTACATTAAGCTGCAAAAGTAGTAGTTATGGAGCATGGATTGTCCATTAAACTATTAACACAAACTTTTTTACAGATATTGAACATTTGTGGCATGATTTTTGAAGGAGAATTTTAAAAAAAATGAATTTTAACATTTTCTATGACGCTAGTCACAGGTTGTTATATAATGATTATTCTTGCCACTGATATCAACGGGATTTTAATCAATAATATATAATTTTGAATAGACATAATCATATTAACTTAAAGGGACATGCATCAATTTGAGACAACTGTCATTCACATCTTTAGCTTTGAATGAGACAGTTGCCTCACTATGAAAGCTGAAAAAAGCAGATAAATATTATTTTTTTCTAGTTTACCTGCTTCTCTTTTCTTATGCTTTTCACACCTACTCCAAGGGGGGCAGTGAGCTAACCAATCAGTGTCCTATCCCTAGGAATGCTGGAAGAGTGCATTGGGCATGCCATACAGATTTACACATGTGCAGTTGGAAAATCTCTTCATTTTGCAACATCCTAACAGGGGGAGAAGAGAAGGAATCTAATCAGTTGGATCATACACAGCAGGCTCCAATATTTGGTTTCTCTCTCCTGCTGTTTCAAAATTTTGCACTATTTCTTCCATTAGTGGACTGGTCAGAAATTGAGCAGGGTTGGTAATCGGGTTGGGGTCTGCAGAAACTCCACTAGCTGAGAGACAGGCCCAATCTTGCCCAATCTGACCAGGTTCACAATAAGTTTATACAGGTTCATTACATACTTCTCAGAGTTTATCTTGCTTTATTTTGTTTTTTATATTTGTTTAAAGTGTTTTCTTTAATAAATAAATAAATAAATCAATCAATCTATGGAAGGGGAAGCCACCTCACAGAAATTAGGTTTTGCATGTTGGGATGTCTGCACATGATGTAATATATTTACAAATATGCAAGTTATATAGAAATGGAGAATGGTTGTATCAAAACAAAACTATACATAAAAACTTAGTACAGTATTGACAAAACAAGGAAAAGATTTAGCAAAAAAAACAAAAAAAAAACAACAAAAAACGGCAGAAACAGATAAGGAAGATAACTAAATGGAGATTTAGTCACTGGGTTTGGCCATAACATGCTTCGCCTCTCTCTGGTCAGTTTTGTCAAGTACAAACCAGATACTATTGTTTACATAGCAAATACAAGTACACATAATAAGACCCTCTTGTACTTCTAGGAGATCAACCTGTCTCCTTTCATGTACAGACCTATATGTGCAGATTACTCTTTTCATCTGATCTTTCCCAAAAACCCTGAAGATTTTTCTATAATTAACAATTCTAACTTAATGTTTCTGTTATTAACCCCAACACTCCCAGGGTTTAAAACTTGGTTGTAGATTAATTTAATATTGCTATTAACACTTAATCTCTCAAAGGGTTGACACCGGTCTGTCAGTTCCTATTATTGCAATTAACCCCATATGTTCCCAGAGTTAAACCTCGTTCGTATATTACTTTTATTTTCTTTTTTAAAACAGAAACCAATGTCTCAGTACATCCTCCTCCCTTTTTGCATACTGATGTAAGTACTGCCCCTTCTTGTCACTTTGTGTTGCTGAGATATATATATCCTTCCTCCTTCTACCGGTCCTTCTTTCCTTCCCCACCCCCTTAGGAAATAAAGTAGTCCTCCCTTCCTCCTTCTGTCTTTTTTTTTCTCATTCTTCTGCTTTTTCACCCCATCAACCCTTTCCTCCCCCCCTCCCAAACAATCCCTATTACAGAACAACAACAAGGGAAAAACCCATCTAGGAGAAGGAGCAACCATGACCCCCTCCTGCTCACAGAAGTCAGGAGGACAAATCTAAATACATGGAGGACTTTATTTTATAAAAATATATTATTTTTTTATTTCATTTTTTTTAATGGACCGGATGATCTCCAAATGCAACAATAAAACCTACAGCTTTGCAGGGGAGGTGAGCTTTTGTCTGAATTATTATTTTTATTAATGCTTGATATTTGTTATATAACTATTCATTTGGCTGTTTATGTAGAATTTAGGTTATAAAGCAAAATATCACTATCCTGTGACTGTATTCTATTGCTCGAACGTATGATTGTAAACTCTATTGTTCATAGTCTGAGACTCTTCGTGGCAAACCCTGTCTTAACAAATTTCACTCAGTAATGTTCTGCTGTCAGTTGGAGAGGGGGTTGTAAGGTGCAGAGAGTAAGCTCTTGGGCTCAGTGAATGACCTAGCTCAGTGGTGCTTGCTTTGTGTAGCACTGTACCCTAGCTGAGCAAACATACAATGATGTCATCGTATTGTAAACTGCATTGATTCAATGAAATACCATCTTCCACACATCACACCCCCTAATACCTCCCCCTCAAACATGCCTCAGTTTTATTCTTTTCATAATCAGTCTATATTATGGTCATGATGTTTGGCATTCTGTTTAACTGATCTATGCTGTGATCTGCAGAGATAAAATGTAGTTTATTCTATGTATCCGTGGATGGTTTGTGGTGTTACACCATGGTAAACATTACATGGAGTTGTTGCAGTGCAGTGTTAATATATGCACAAGTGTTCGTGGTAAACACTGTGGGGTTCATTCACTAAATGGTGAAATGTAGTTAATGGAAAAATTAATTTCCATTTTTAGACCAAAATAGCCAAGCAGTGACTATAATTGAAATAGGAAAGAAACACTTTTGCCTGAATATTTCAGTTTGTTTTTAATTTGCTACAATTAAAAGCCAATAAAACCCAAATGCTACTTTTTTTGATCTGTTGCCATGGTACAATGTTACTATCCAGCTGGCAGGGGTTGAAATGGTTTGATAAAGTGTAAACACTGACTTAATTTTTTTTTTGGTTTAGTTTTGTTTTTCTACACCCAAAGCTTCACACATAGTATCAATATGCAAAATATTAATATGTTCTTAGTAGATTTCATACTAGATTGCTTCTCCCAAATCTTTTAGGACTTGCTAGAAGGATACATGGATCATGGCACTAGCTTGTTTTATATAATAAACAAAGATATGCACTATAAGGGGAAAATAAGTATATTTATTTTTAATGTTAGAATGTTCCTATGCTGTGGATCCAGCCAATCCCTCACCCCCCCTTTAAAATGAAACAAGCAAAAAACAAGCATATCTATTAAATTTACCTGTAATCCATCTCAGGGACCATCTCCTCGCAGTAGCTGCTCCTCCTCTTCTGAGATCATCATGACCAATGATCTTGGTCCAATCCATAAAGAAGTATTGCGGACGTACGGCACATGCGCAGCTGTGCGTGATGACACCAAATGTGAAAACCTTTTGATTTTTGATGATCTTACTAAGGAGTTGTCGTTAACCCTGTTTGCCCTATCACCGGGGAACAGTGCCAGGTTACCCATGGTATCATAATCACTAGAGTGAGCATTAATATTTGTGATTAGCTACACATGCCAACCATGCACACCTTAACTGCTTTCTGATAAAGCACAGACACACACCTGGCATGTGTTCTTAAAGGGACACTATAGTCACCAAAACAACTACAACTTAAAGAAACACTGTAGGCACCCAGACCACTTCAGCTCATTAAAGTGATCTGGGTGTAGTGTCCCTTTTGCACCTAGTGTTTCAATGTTAAACATTGCAGTTCCAGAGAAACTGCACTGCTTACATTGCAGCACAGTCAGCCTCTAGTGGTTGTTTACAAGACAGCCACTAGAGGGCTTTCTGGATTGAAATGGACATTTGGTCTGATATCTGATGTTGGACATCCTCACATACTCATGTCTGAGTACACCCAGTGTCAAATGATTCCCCATTGATTCAATGCTTTCCTGTGGGGAGGTATAATGCACAGGTGGCATTTGCCACACATTCGCCTTAGCGCCCGCTCGGTGCAGGGCATCGGTGCTCGGATCAGGTGAGTAAATGAAGGGCTTTTAACCCTTTACATTATTGCTTAGGTGCATTCAGATGGCCAATAGAAGTGCTTCCTGGGTCAGTGCTGCCCAGCGTGCAGCACTGGCGTTAAGTCTTCATACTCTGCATGGAGGTGCTGAACTTTGAGTCAGTGCATCTCTATGAGGAGATTCTGATTGGCCAGCGCAGTGTTTTGCTGTGCTTGTGCTATAGCCTCCCAATGCTTTCCTGTAGGAAAGCATTGGATTGGCTGAGATAGTCACCAAGGAGGCGGATTATGGGCCGAGCCAGTGCCAGCAAGATGGGGGGAGGTAAGGTTTATTTTTTGTTTTGTTTTTTCCCTTTTTTAGGGGGAACGGATCTAACTAGTGTTTTTAACACTGTAGGGTCAAGAATACACGTTTGTATACCTGACCCAATAGTATTCCTTTAACCCTGAGTGGTCACTAACGAATACAAGCTAGCTGGAGAAACTTAGCGACAGGGTTGAAGCAAGCCTTTTTGTTTCAATATGATATATTGAGATTTAGCTGTGGTTTACATCTTTACATCAGGCCGAAGGGTGATGTTAAGTTTTTTGACTTGGCGGCAGCTGGAAATGAATAGCGACGAGATTGTAAACTAATTGCTAAGTAGTGGTTAGTGGCTCCCATAGAAAATAATAGAAGTTGTTAGAGACCCTCTTTCAGTAATGGCAGCTGGTAACTCTGTGTCACTACTTGTTAAATTTTTCATTCGGGAAACCGCCTTTACTCGCTAACAGGCATGGTAATGACCGGCACACATTCATTAATAAGTCGCAACAAGCTTTATAACAAAGGGTTGCAGTGAATTGAAATTGAACTGCAAAATATCTTTTTGTTTTTGAAATATTCTCCCACAAGCAATAGTCACAGCTGGGGGATATTCGCTTGAAAATTGGAATTTGGTTTTACGTTCACCACTCTTCACTGTTTAGTGCAAAAAATGTTTAAATGCGAAGGCATAATGACTTATTATGTGCTGTAAATCCAGAGATTACACCTTTTAAAGCACAGTAATGAGGCACTCTCCTGTGAGTCAGGCATTCTGTTAAAATCCTCAAACTTGAATTATTTTAAAAAGCACAAAGTAAAGTAGTAAATTAACACAAAAGAATAGGTGAAGGTAAAACGACTTGTTTGCGGCTAAATTCGGTACAGGCTGCTCTCTGCCCTATTAACGTTTGAATAATGCAAGTTGTGGTACTTTTGAGTGCCTTTTGAGAAGCAGTTTAAGATAATGCACACGTCTCATTGTATGGCCTTGTGAATGAATATCTGTGTTTTTACTGCAGTCTAGGTCAAGTGCTGATATAATTAGGGGTCACATGGAAGAGTGTTGCTAATCTCATGGTTTACATTGATTTTGTAATGAGCCATAAAGTTTGTCCTTGCCCAAATAGATGACATTATTATTCATAATAATAATAAGCTTACTTGAGATCATATGTAAAGTTAATTATGTACTTGTATGTTTTGTTTGCAGGTAGCTGTATCCTGTTGGGTGGCAGGCGTATCCAAGGGGTACCATGAAATACCCAGGGCCCCTGGAGAGCCAGAGACTGTCCTTTCTTTTAGAAAGGGCAGTCTCTAGGGAAGCCCAGATGTGGAAGGTGTATGTTCACAAGACCTCACCCAATCAGGTAATATCCTTTCCACATCTTGCATTTTTTTTTAATGTTCACAGTTTATAGCTGTGGATTACAAGATGTATACACCATAGCTAAACGGTAATTTTATTTTACAGTTTTTTATGATGTGCTGCATTTTTGTTGTACAAAACTATTTATTCTAATCTCTGTGAGATCCTGTTTTTGACCTGTACGCCTATTATTCCTATACTATGAGTCAAAAGTCTTAGCTACGTTGGTGGCGACTTCCTGCCTGTGTTGCACCTTATTAAACTTTCATTGATGTTCACGATACTGCGTTTTGCTATCTCCATAGTTCAATACATTTTATATAAGAATATACGATTTATCTAAGAATATTTTATAATTTAAAAAAAGTTTTATTCACTAAAGCATTAATTGTAAAAAAAAATGTCAAGGAAATTGCATTTATCAGGCAATATTTGCCAACCTAGAAAATAATTGTTGGAGAGTTCTCCACCCCAAGTGATTTCAGTCTTTTACAGGTAATATAATGTGGTCAGTGTAGTGGCGTAAATTAATCAGGAGCAGCAGACCAAAGACTTCAATGTCTCATTAACAAGGCTTCTTTGAGAGGTGTAGATAGCCTCTTGCGTTTCAAAACGGAGAGCAATAATAGATAATTATGTCCTTGGTGCCGTAGTCTCCTCCAGATTTCTTAATTAAATTCTCTTACATTTGGAAAAATGCCACTTTGAAATAGTACCTTGAATGTCTCCTGTGTGACTATCACAGTTAAAGAGACAATCCAGAGTGAATCTCACCACAGTTTAATGCAGTAATAGATATGAATAGGTATTTAGACAGACAGTAACTGCTAAAAAATATTTATTTGTATACACAATACTTTCACACACAGTTGCACTTCCACAGCAACCAGGATGTGGCTGAAATGATTCTGCCAATCACATCTCTCATTTGTTCAATTTAGGAGCACTGCACGTGAACACTAAATCCAAATATAAATTAATGGAACACTCTGTCAGTACAGTACAGCTACAAGCACTTGCATTGTCAGACATATTATGCCAGATACATCATTTGGTATGAACGAATTGGCATTTGATACTGTGCATGTACAAGTGATTTTCATCAATTCCAGTGTAGAAAAACAACATATGTACAGAAGAATTCATGGCATCCTTTGTGGTTTTCAAAGTCTGACCTCCTATTATTATTAGAAGATGGGTAGATTGAATGACTTCCCATTCAATAAGCAGAATAAAGTTTAAGCCAGCAAACTGGCACGTTTTTATATCCTCCGTTCACCAAATCATTTGATACCTTTTAGAAATCAATTAGGATAATGGGGTTACAAGAGACAGGTCGGGCTCTGTTTAGAAAACCATTTTTTTATTTTTTTTTTATTGTTTTTGTGTCAGATATCAATTACTGCTACATGAGAGGATCAATCTTGGTAATGCATTCTTATTTCAAATAAAAAGGAACACTCAAAACGCCTAAAGCACTTTAGCTTGCTGAAGTGCTTTATTTGTGAAGTCCTTTTTAAAAAATTTTTTTTTCTATTTTGCAAAAAGTGCAAATTTCAATACAAATTAGCACTTTTATTAATTAACTTTGCTACATCCCCGAGCTGTCAATCAGACAGCCAGTCCTGTTACTTCCTGGTTTGGTTAGCTCAGTGGAGCTATACTAGAGAGGCAGTGATTGCTCAGAGCACCTGGATTTCAAAGACTTCTCACTGAGCTGCATTGGGAAGTCTGTGATTGTCAGGTTATATGGATATAATAATAGATGTGCCCTTATAAATAGGCAAGCAATGTCAGAAATTTCCTTACTAGTTTTATTGATGCTAGGAATTAAAGTTTTTATATATATATATCATTTTTTTATTATTTTTTTTTTAAATAGATTTAAGAAATTTAAATTTACATTTTTTTTCATAAAAGTGCACCTTTCATGGAGCAATATGATATGGTGAAACACATTATGAGGAATAACATTTTTAGCTACATGTTGTGATGCCATGAGTCTTTAGGTGTCATCCCTGTTATTTGCCAAACTATTTCCAAGATATTTGACACAAAAATGTCTTTCTACCACCTAAAGCCTGGTTCTTCTGTAGTTGTCCAGATAATGAGGAAGATTCACTTTGCATCTGTCCAACCTTGGATGGCACTGATATGTTGTGAGCTATGGGCTAACACTCTTCCAGCTTTTGCAGCCTGTCGTAGTGATTCCTGTTTGGATTGCTTTGTATGGATAATCACTACAGAGAAGGGGGCCCAAGCGCTAGGAAGGTGTTACAATTGGAAACCTCCAAGAATGGCAATGCTGGAGCAAGTGACTGCTTTTCTTCATCTGTAGAATTCAGGTTGACAAAACTTCACAATGTGCAGAGTTTCAGATTTACCCATAATCCATCAGTAAAATCAATCCCTGCACACATCATGGACAGAGAACAAAATGGCTGCACCCAGATATTGAGGTCGGGTGCAAAGAAGAAAAGATAATTCATATGAATAAAGTAAAGTTGGAGTATAAGCACTAAAATACAGGGGGCATAAGGAAAACCATAAGACAGAAAATGACAGGTCCACTTTAAAGCAGGACTGTCACTCTCTTGAAAAATGAGTATTTTTGAGTAATCTTTATGAAATTCTCACTTTGACTTTGTTGAAATTTCACTGAAATCCAAGCCAATCAAGAGAGTCTAAGTGTCAATTCCGACAGCTGTCACCAGGACCGCCATCAGAAATTTTGGGGCCTCTGACAAAGCACAAGGTCTGGGCCCTCCCTCCCAGGCCCGCCCACGCCCTACCTGGTCCGCTGACAGTGATGCAGGACTGAATGTGGTATGTGTATAGTGGAAGTGAATTAGAATGTGTGTAATGGATGTAGTGTTTGTGTGTATTAGATACTGTTTGTGCAGTGAATGCAGAGTGTGTGTTTGTGTAGCGGATGCAGTGTGTATAGTGAACGCAGAGTGTATTTGAGTAGTGGATGTAGTGTGTGTACAGTGATGTAGTGTGTGTTTGTGTAGTGGATGTAGTGTTTGTATGTACTAGATGAAATGTGTTTAGTGGATGCAGTGTCTGTAGTGCGTGTATTAGACGCAGTGTCTGTGTATAGTGAATGCAGAGTGTTTCAATGTGTGGTGGATGTAGTGTGTGTACTGTGAATACAGGATGTTTGTGTAGTGGATGCTGTGTGTACAGTTAATGCAGAGTGTATGTTAGTGTAGTGAATGCAGAGTGTGTGTCAGTATGTAATGAATCCAGAATGTGTGTTAGTGTGTAATGAATGCGGAGTGTGTGTTAGTGTGTAATGAATGCAGAGTGTGTGTAAATTTGTAGTGAATGCAGAGAGTGTTAATGTGTAGTGAATGCAGAGAGTGTGTAGCGGATGCAGAGTGTGTGTTAGTGTAGTGAATGCAGAGAGTGTGTTAGTGTGTGTTAGTGTAGTGAATGCAGAGAGTGTGTTAGTGTAGTGAATGCAGAGTGTTAACGTGTAGCGGATGCAGAGTGTGTGTCAGTATAGTGGATGCAGTGAGTGTGTTAGTGTGTAGTGTATGCAGAGTGTGTGTTGTATTAGTGTATGCAGTGTGTGTTGTGTTAGTGTATGCAGAGTGTGTGTTGTGTTAGTGTATGCAGAGTGTGTGTTGTGTTAGTGTATGCAGTGTGTGTGTTGTGTTAGTGTATGCAGTGTGTGTGTTGTGTTAGTGTATGCAGTGTGTGTGTGCTGTGTTAGTGCATGCAGTGTGTTGTGTTAGTGTATGCAGAGTGTGTGTTGTTAGTGTATGCAGAGTGTGTGTTGTATTAGCGGATGCAGAGTGTGTGTTGTATTAGCGGATGCAGAGTGTGTGTTGTATTAGCGGATGCAGAGTGTGTGTTGTATTAGCGGATGCAGAGTGTGTGTTGTATTAGCGGATGCAGAGTGTGTGTTAGTGTAATGAATGCAGAGTGTGTCAGTATAGTGGATGCAGTGAGTGTATGTTGTATTAGTGTATGCAGTGTGTGTGTTAGCGTATGCTGAGTGTGTGTGTGTTAGCGTATGCAGAGTGTGTGTGTGTTAGCGTATGCAGTGTGTGTTGTGTTAGTGTATGCAGTGTGTGTGTGTAAATGTGCAATCTGGGGGTGGGGAGGGGGAGGAAGGGGCATTTTCACATTAATTTTTTATTAAATTAAATGTTTCTCCCCCCACCCTGCTTACCTGTGTCCAGGGAGGGGGGAGATTCCATCTCTGGTGATCCAGTGGCATGGGGGGCCCCGTGGCTCCCTGTTACCGCAGAGGGGGCCCAGGCAGCACACAGCTTCTCCTCTTCTCTTCTCCTCTCTCTAATAACTCTCGCGAGACCCGCGGAGCGTTGCCATGGTAACCGGGTCTCGCGAGAGTTATTAGAAGAAAGAAGAGGAGAAGCAGTGTGCTGCCTGGGCCCCCTCTGCGGTAACAGGGAGCCGGGGGCCCGCGGCTGCACACATAGATAGCGATATTCGTTATCTATGTGTGCAGAGAAAGAAAGTGGCGCCCGGGACTGCCAGAGCAGTCCGGGACCCCCATGGTTGTCACCCCCTGATGGTGGCCCAGGCTGTCACCAGTGGTGGCTGCAGGGAATTGGCTGTATCTATGGAGGATATCACAGTCTTGCGGGATCCTCCATAGACCTCAATGCTGTACTCTTGTGAGAGTACAGCAGTTCCGTGAACTCTGAGTAAAATCCGGCAGATCAAGATGGGTAAGTAAATCTCACCTTTACCTGCACCCCCAGCCACCAGACCTCCAACGGCGATGTCACCATCGGTGGTCTCTGCAAAATTGGCAAAGTCCCCTGATGGTGAAAGTGCCACTTTAAGAAAGCTTATTTGGTCTCTATTTAATCCACGTAACATTTGGCCTTCATGTGTCATAGATTTTTAACAAGAGACGTGCTCTTCCACTTCCTGTAAACAATGAGATGAGAAGTAATGAGGTGATTTAAAAATACAGTGGGACCTCGTTTTACAAATCCAATGCGTTCTCTGGGACGTTTCTTATTGCGAAAAATTTGTAAGCCGAAACACGGT